ACAGAGGTAGAACCATCGAAAACCTTGGTACTCAATGGGTAGCAAATACAATGGACCTAAAAGAGGAAATCTTAAGCTTATTGACCATGGCGTACCGATATTACTTTTCACTTCAAATGTTTTCAGTATTGAACAGATGCATCTTAACAATTACGCGCAAGGGCCTTACTCTGCTTCCGGTTCCACGAGATTATCAGGAAATGCCAGCCATCAGTGTTCCTGCCACTTGAAGTCTAAACAGGAAAACGCATGTGTCCAACGGCGGATAGAAGCGAAGTTAATAATTTCATGGGCTATAGCTAATTTCCTGGCCTACCCAGCCGACTGCCTGTTTGACCTAATCGTACACAGTCAATATGGTGTGTTACAATAAACGCACAGGTTAGATTCGTAGGACGTGGCCGACTTATCCCCATAGACGCAGCAAAACCAAGTCGTTGAAGTGTATCCTCACCTTCCCTAAGACACGACCCCTAAGTCCAACTCCGCAAACTCGGTCGCCAACACGTAGAAGCCATTCTACTGAAAGCTAAATTGTCGAGAACGGGACTCGCCGTCTGTCATTTGCGTGAATTGATCAGGACTACTTTCCATACAACAACTACACTTGAAAGGCGGCACTTCAAACTCGGTCTTATAACAGAATGCCGTACCAGCCCGGACTAAGAAGACGCCAAGCAAACTATGGGAATGCGAAGGAAAATCTTCGTTCTAATGATGCCACTAACGGATACGACGTCCTCCCGTTAGGCGAAGCTCTCTACCAACTTAAACCGTACAACTACCAGGTGGAACACGGGGACAGACGAGCCCTATTCCTAAAAAAGTACGCTATACTTCGAAAGAGCGAAACACTTACCGCATCAATAGACCTCATTCATATACCCTGCTGCTTGTCACCTAGTAAAAGGTTATTCTCATTACGATCTAGGTAGGCCATATCCTTGCGCGAAAGAAGCTCGCAACCGGCCTTTTGGAAGTCTTTGGAGTTCTCTAAAGAATGGCGGTAATTGCTGTAGTTAAGAAAGTAAACACAAAGTAACCTTGTAGCTCGGCTTTACCGAAAGTGAAAGACAAAGATAGGCTACTGCAGGCCCTAAATGCAGAGGGAACATGGAGATGTGGCGCAGACTGAATGGCACTATACTTTTCTGGAACCCTGTCCCAGTGTTAGCAAAGCTACAGAGCAAGTTTATCAAGCGAATCAAATGCCGCCCGGATATTTGGGAATCCAACCTCGTAGGTTTCTGGTGCATGTGACGATGTGCACGATGCTGGTGACGCGCACATTTCAGTCGGGACTGAAACTAGCCTATTCTTCATTTTGCCGGAATTCTAGGCAGATTCCAGTAACCTGAAAGCATTCGAACCGAGACTGTTCACTGTGTGAGTGCTGTACAAAGCGAGGACATGTTGCTTGGAAATCGCTACAATAACAGACTTATCCTAAGTAAAATCACATTTCCTTTGTGTAAGATTGTCAGAACAATGAAGTCAACCAGCTCAAGACTACTGCGTCGTCATAGTTGGACAGCTCCAAAAGAAGTATGTCCGAGTGAGCAGACTTGAGGCCCCTTTTAATATAGCCCTATCAGACAAGTGTACTCAATACAAGCGAATATATTCTCTTGAACTCCAAATTGGTGGTAGGATATTGAATGCTTATTTCCTCGTGGTGTGGCTCTTATCGCGTAAACAACGAACAACGATTTATCACGGGTGAAAATGTAAGTGTTTTACAAGTTCAGTAGAATGGTTGCGGTAAACAGTACAGAAGTTATGTTAGTCACCTGCTAAAGCGTCTACCGAGTTAAATACTCCGTTGAGTAACGAGAATTGGATACATGCATATAGTAACAGGGGGGCAGTTATAGTTGACGTTGGTAACAATGTCATCTACGCAAATCTACGAGCAAAGGACCACCACCGCAGTCGAATGACCTCAATGAAAGAGGACACCATGCATACAGCTCAGGCAGCATTCTCATCTGCGGAGACAAACGGCATTATGGTCACGTGGCATGGGTCGAAGAGGTCATCTCCAAAGTTTACCTGACCAAATGACCAGTGACGGCTTATAAAAGCGCAGGCGTGTGAATACCCAGTTCACACTTACTTACGCATCTCTCCGCCACGCTGCACACTATTTCACTGATGATGTCACCTTGGTTATTGACGAAACGTTTGCAGCAACATTGCCAAGCTTAGCGAACAGATGGTCACCTACAGTTACCTTTGTATCAAAAAAGTAAGAGTGCTCAGCCATGGACCGCTTTCTTGGGTCCATTCGCTGCATGAATCCGATAGGAAAGCGTGAAAAAGGTGCTTCACAGCAGCATAGGTTAGGACACAAAGTGCTGTTAGCTAAGGACATCCAATCACTTTTTGAAGACATTAAAGGTAGGGGAGTTGACAACTGAGTTTGAGAGGCAGTTCAAAGGTTGGAAAACCCGAAGAAAAAAGATATTCCGCCAACCTACTACATGGTTGCGTTGTTCACTCAGTTTCAGGCTCATTGCTGTTACTGAGTTTCCGCAAATGGCGTCATACGTGATTGGGGTCACTCCATATTTGCTACGATAATATGGGATCGTAGCGTGGCCTTCGGTAGCGTCCACCTAGAAGTCTAAATAAATTCAACCTTTGCTAGTAAGAGAAATTGCGTAGGCCCATTGACATTCTTCGTAGACCTGTAGGTCGCGATTCAACCAGAGTTTCTAGGCTTGGATAGCGTTTTTAGCTTGAGAACGCACGGAAGCGTTGGAAATCACCGGGAGGATTGGTGGGTCAAAACCCCTGAATGTGCTTCGCAGCAAGCCAACATGCTGGTTGCCTCAACTCGAGGCTGTCTCAGACTGTTTTGACCACTTGATGTCGCTCTAGACGAGCACACCAAGGTTATTTATGAACACCAAGAATAGGCAAGCCACTAGCACAGAGCCTTGCGGTCAGTGGCGTAGCAAGTAGTTTTGCCGCCCGGGGCGGTGGAAAAATTTGCGCTCTGAGTGAAGGCAGAATAGGCGCGTGTAGGCCATCCACGATGAAATGGATGGTCGTTTGGACCACTGAGGTAAATGTGTTGAAAGTGACCACAATGGGACAAGCAAGAGGATCACTAGGAAGAACATTTGCACAAGTGTGACATGTGGCACAAAGGTGTTGTTCGTCATACAGAGTAACATTGAAATATTTAACCTTCAGCTTATTCGGACATTTTACCCTTTATATTTGATATCAAAAAAGCGATAGTACTAAAAATCCCTCCCGCTGTCACATGCCACACGGGGCGGACCGCCTATCCCCACCCCCCGTGCTACGCGACTGCTTGCGGTATATGGCACTCCACCGAAACAGAGTCGGGCGGCGATTCATGGACTCTCACCTGCAACGGACGATCCAAAATATTGCATATCCAACGCAGAACTGAGTCGCCAATGCCATTATTCCGAAGATTATGTAAGCGATCAGACGTTTTTGTGAAGTCTAGGTAGATGATATCGACTCCTGCTCCACTATCAACTACTTCGGTTTGGCAAGTAACCGATTACTAATAGATGAGCGATTTTGGCGTAAGACATGTTGTTTCGGAACAACCATCTCGATGCAGTTGTGTGCAAACAACTTCGCTCTGTTCACACGCATCGGGGACGAGATGAAATGTATAACAAAGGCAGTTGCATCGCGTTCGCTGTCAATGCGAGTATAACTGCCGTCACTAAGGACGGAGTTAATGTTCTGACCGTCTATTCTGTGTTCGATAGGTGGATGGAAGGATTACACGGTAGTCCTGTATTTTGGGGATCACCGGCTCGAAATCGTGTTGGTGAGGGTACCTCGCGGTATACCCAGTCCATGCGCGAATACTGGTGTTTGAGTGGCAGTGAAGCGCCGGTGCAGTGTGCCTCTACTTCGGTGACACGAAAGGCAGCTTCTAAATCTTGTAAACAACCTTTTTTGTAGAAGAGCACATGTCCTCCACTCTGAGCTCTCATTTGGTTGCTCCTGTTAGTCACTTGTGTGCCCTTTGTGTTGGTGTGATAAGGTCGTTTTCTGCGCCCTTCATTCGTCAACATTTTAGTCCGCTGCATTCAATAGTAGTCACTTGTTTAAATCGGTGCTCCACTCCGCGTCTTATTCAAAGCTATTACCTAATAACCCAAAAGCTTGATCTCGTTTCATGCGCAACAATTTAACCTTTTCCGTCTTTACACATTTCCGATAAGTTCGTTGTATCGCTTATTGGCTATTAACCTAATCTTGATCATTGATTATTGCACTTATATGCTATACTCAGTGCACACATGTAGCCACAACCAATTCACCACTTAAACATGTTGCAGGTGGCTTCGTATATTTGTACAGCGTAGCCCAAATATTCGGTTTGCCATCCTCTAGATCGAATTAGTAACCAGAAGTAATACAACCGACAATCTGAGATACAATCAGCTTGCCCCACAGCTTTCGACGTCTGGAATGGTACTGGGTCTGAATATTCTATTTTTCCCCCAAAGGAAGCAAATCATGATTCAAGGAAGAGCATAATGTTAAGGAAGTCATTTTCCCCCAACATGAGTTGGATTGGAAAAGCTTACTGATTGCAAGCCATCGATGCTGTTCTGCAAAATTTCAGCGCATTAGTAACCACTAACTTTAAATGAAACTGACCGTAATAGTACATGGTTTGGACGTCTCACAACGAGATTACGGCTTTGATACCAAAGTTATGAACATGCTGAAGGTTTTAGAAATATGCAGTAATGGGGCAGGGAACAAAATCGTCGTTACTTTCATTTAAAGCTTAGTAGTAAAATATTTATAAGTTACAATCTGTTTTAACTGGGTATTTAGCTATAGATGCGGTCTATGCAAAAGATGCATAACTAGGAAACTAGTCCACCGTAACAATCCACTGGAGTACGTACCAGAAATTTTGCAAGGTAGTCATCTAACCTTTGAAATGGCTAAAAGAGACATTCAAAATGGGCACGGGGTTTATTTACCAAATATATGGTTAGTCTTGTTTTCAGAATTGGGATGAGAAACAGTCTTCATTTTTGTCTTGGCGATTCCAGATAAATCCTGTTAAACCACCTCCAAGTCATTCGTTCGCACGGCCTGGGCGACACAAGCGGCGAAAATCATACAGATTAATTGGACGAAGGCAAACACGAAGACACAGACCGCGATTGTGATGAGATTCTGTTCAAAAAAGTTGCGCAATTTTCCAACACAACCCTGAGTGGAGTATTCAAATAAGAGAAATCGGTAAATCAAAATGTTATATGATTTCCAAACATGAGAGAAATGGTGAGTAGTTGTACTTGCGGATATCTGCTACCCTACAAAATTGGACTGATTCAAAATTTGTCATTATCAAATACAAAGATGAGAATGGGAAGTAAATCTAAACACTATGAACGCGGGAGTCTAAAAACTGTCCAGCGATTGTGTGCTGCAATTGCACTCACTGGAGCTGACAAGTTAAATTTCCACTTCAGTCAACCATAAGATGGTTGCACTAGTTCCCCTACAACCCTAACAACTCTCCAGACATACATGAAGTGAAAAGATAACTATCCGTATTTCATTCCTTACTCACATTGACCAAGTTATGCCGTTTCTGTTTACAGTTAGTTGTTCGCATCTTTGCTAAGCGGTGTAGGTTTGTAGCGATTGTAAATATTTTGCTTATTTTTCATTTTCACGTTTACCTATTTCGCTGCAGTTGTTGTACGGCTTTGTTTTAATTAACTGTATATATACACACTTGCTTACGAGCTCGCCTTCCGTGGTTCTTCCTTGGTTGCCGCTGGATTGCTGTAATTGTGCGCATCGCTGCCTGCTTGGTTCACGATCGGACTCTACGTACACGTACATTTCGGCGTACCTTGGGATTTACGGCCGTCCGACGCTAAGGTGCATCGGAATACTTTATATGTGAGGTAAACCTGACTGACTTGGTATTCTCCTTTACCGGTTCCTCCATATAATTGGTGACCCCGCATCTTTTATTCAACATTTTGTGTATATTTTTCTTTTTTAACTTACGATGTCTGAGCACGCGCCTGCCATTAATGCGTCGGAACATTCTCTTGGACTCGTTTTGCCTTCATTTGACGTTTCTAACCCACGTGTTTGGTTTGTTCAAGTGGAAGCTGTTTTCCGTTTTCGTAAGATTACATCTCAATCCACAATGTTTTCATATGTGACTGCTCATTTACCGTCCAACATCGCCTCTGAGGTCATCGACATTCTTGACCGTATGCCCCTAGAGTCCCCCTATGATAAACTTAAGGCAGCCATATTAAAGCGCACTACAGCCTCAGACGAATCACGCCTTCAGCAGTTACTCTCTGGTGTTGAACTTGGAGATAGAACGCCATCTCAGTTACTCTGACACATGCGTTCCCTCGTCGGTTCTTCCGCACTGGATGATTCCGTTCTCCGCCAATTGTGGAGTAATTGTCTTCCTGCGAATACCACGGCTATTTTAGCTGTGCTTGCCGATGATCTTCCGCTAGACAAACTGGCCGAAGCTGCCGATAAGGTTCACGAACGCTTCATTAGAACGTCGGTATCACACGTCACAGAGAATAGCTCAGGCAGCCCCTCCAGAACCACGCTACTTGATACAATCAGCGAGAGGCTTTCTAACTTAGAACTCACCTTGTCCCATCTCAGACGCGACCGCGTTCCTTCGCGACGATCGGTTTCTCGATCTAGACGGTTTAGCAGCTCTCGTACACGGAAGTCTCACCGTTATTGTTATTATCACCACCGCTTCGGAGACGTAGCGCGTAAGTGCCGTCCGGGGTGTAAACACCCCAAAGCCTTTTCAACTCCCACGTCGGGAAACCACTTGGCCAGCCAGTAATGGCGGCGGCTGTCGCTGGCCAAGTTATTAGTCGCCTGTTGTATGTATTTGACTCCACAACCAAACTTCACTTCTTGGTTGATACTGGTGCAGAAGTCAGCGTTCTCCCCCGTTCTCTGGAAAAACGCCCCCTGCAACCAGCGGGTCCAATGCTTACGGCAGCTAATCAGACTAAAATCGCTACTTACGGCCAGAAATTACTTATTTTGAGTCTCGGATAACGGCGTAACTTCCCTTTCCTTTTTACCATCGCCGATGTGCAAAAGCCCACTATCGGAATCGACTTCCTCAGCAAGTTCGGTCTTGTGGTCGACCTACGTTGTGGGAAATTGCGAGACGATACTACGTCTTTAAGCATACCCTGCAAACTTGCCTCAGTCAATTCTCTCGGGCTTCGCATCCTCATCCCTGACGACTCACAGTATTCTTCATTGCTCCGACAATTTCCGTCCCTAATTCGAGCAATTAACGACACTTCCGATCCTAAACACGATGTACGCCATCACATCGTTACAACCGGTCCGCCTGTAACCGCTAAAGCTCGATGCTTGCGTCCTGACAAACTCCAGGCAGCTAAAAAGGAGTTCCAACACATGCTTGATCTCGGCATTATTCGTCCTTCAAACAGCTGCTGGGCATCACCTCTCCATCTGGTGTCTAAAAAGTCAGGCGATTGGCGACCATGCGGTGACTACCGTGCTCTTAACAACGTCACTGTTCCGGATAGGTATCCTATCCCACATATCCACGATTTCTCCCTTGGACTAGCTGGAAAGTCAATCTTTACCAAACTCGATCTTGTCAAAGCTTACCATCAAATTCCAATGGCGGAGGAAGACATCGCAAAAACTGCCGTGATCACTCCATTCGGCCTTTACGAATTTCTTCGTATGCCTTTCGGCCTCCGGAACGCAGCACAGTCTTTCCAACGCTTTATGGATCAGGTCCTCTGTGGCCTTGATTTCGTCTACGTTTACATTGACGATGTCCTGATCGCAAGCGCCACACCCGACGAGCATTTATCACACCTCCGAATGGTTTTCGAACGCTTTGAAAACCACGGGATAAACATCAACCCGGACAAATGCAAATTTGGTCAGCCAACCGTCGAATTTCTCGGTCACAAGATCGATGGTGAAGGTATTAAAACCCTTCCGGATAAATCTCAAGCAATCCTCGACTACCCGATGCCACAATCTGTCCGAAGCCTACGCCGATTCCTCGGTATGAGCAACTACTACGGCAGATTCATTCCCAACTGTGCTGATTTACTTCACCCGCTTACCGACTTACTGAAAGGAAACTCAAAGACGTTTACGATAACCCCAGAAGTTGAAGCCGCTTTCACGGCCGTTAAGCAGAAGTTCAGTGAGGTCACCTCTCTCTATCACTTGAACACCACTGAGGACGCTACACTTGTCCTTAAGCGAATGCTTCAAGTTCTGCTGTCGGTGCAGTTTTGCAACAGTTAGTTGATAACGAATTTCAACCACAGTCCTTTTTCTCACGGAAGCTTCAACCTGCTCAGGTCAGGTACAGCACCTTTGGTCGTGAACTGCTCGCCATGTACTTGGCTGTGAAACATTTCCGTCACCTTTTAGAAGGACGTCGTTTCATTCTCTTGACAGATCACAAGCCACTGGTGTATGCCTTCCGTTCTTCCTCAGACCGTTACTCACCCCGAGAAACGCGTCATCTGGACTGGCTTTCGCAGTTTTGTGTTGATGTTTGTTATATCGACGGTCCTAACAACGTTGTTGCCGATGCATTGTCCCGCGCTCATATGAATCAATTGTCATCGACACCCATCGAGTTGGAGAGAATAGCGGCCGCCCAAAACGATGATCCTGAGCTTGTTCAACTTCGTTCAAACTCCTCATTGAAAGTCACCCAACTGCCCGTACTTAACTCTGACATAAGAGTTTACTGTGATCTTTCAACCGGTAAGCCTAGACCCTTTGTCCCACAATCATTTCGCCGAACCATTTTTGATCATTTTCACGGTTTTTCACACCCAAGTATCCGCTCCACCGTAAAACTCATTACCGACCGCTTCCTCTGGCCCAATATGTGTTCAGACATTAGACAGTGGGCGAAACATTGCCTTAGTTGCCAGACTAGTAAAGTGCATCGTCACACAGTCACCACCCCAGGTACATTTTCACTCCCTGACGCTCGTTTTAGACATGTGCACATAGATATTGTTGGCCCTTTACCTCCTTCCAACAGCTTCACTCATCTTCCAACATGTTGACCGTTTTACCCGTTGGCCACTAGCTGTTCCCTTACATGATACCTCTACCGAATCTGTATCCCGTGCTTTTGTCGAATCTTGGATTTCTCTGTTTGCTGTTCCATCCACTATCACTACCGACAGAGGGGCTCAGTTCAGTTCCACACTGTTCCGCGACCTGAGTCGTTTATTAGGCTGTACTCACATGAGAACAACCGCGTACCACCCCGCTGCCAATGGCCTCGTCGAGCGCTTTCGTCGACAATTAAAAGCTACCATCATGGCTACTTCGTCCGACTCACGCTGGTCTGAGCGTCTACCTGCGATCCTCCTTGGTATCCGCAATACAATCAAAGAGGACATTGGGTGCTGCCCTGCAGAACTCGTGTTCGGGACGACGCTCAGACTACCTGGGGAGATGGTACTGGACTCTCGCACCACCGGTGAACTAGACCCCTTCTGGTACGCTGCACGCCTCAAACAGCATTTTCGATCCATTCGACCAACGTCTACGCGGCCTAACCTACGTAAACAGCAAGTCCACCCCGATTTGCACAAGTGTCCGTTTGTTTTCATCCGCGTCGACGCCGTCCGAAGACCTTTAACTCCGCCCTACGACGGCCCGTACCAGGTCTTGTCACGGAAACCCAAGTATTTCGTATTGAATAAGAATGGATCAAAAGAATCCGTGAGCATCGACCGACTCAAGCCAGCTTACGTCGAAACTACAGTCGATAGTAAAGACCCCGTTTCCTCCCCTCAGCGTACCCCCGCCCCTGACTCATTACCCCCTACCCAACGACACACTGACGCCAGTGCATTGAGTCCTCCGTGCCCTACGACTACACGCAGCTCCAAACACACACATTCTGGTCGTGTTGTTTCCTTTCCACATAAGCTTGCTCAATACGTTCCGTAGGCACTTGTGGAGCGTTTTCTTAGTGCACGCTCTAGGGGGGGGAGTACTGTAGCGATTGTAAATATTTTGCTTATTTTTCATTTTCACGTTTACCTATTTCGCTGCAGTTGTTGTACAGCTTTGTTTTAATTAACTGTATATATACACACTTGCTTACGAGCTCGCCTTCCGTGGTTCTTCCTTGGTTGCCGCTGGATTGTTGTGATTGT